TTATTTCATTAATTGGAGTGCAAGTGTTCTTCAGATGGGGACCATTGTAGGCATAATATATTCCCATGCTATGCAGCTCAGTTCCTTGCACCTGGTTAGACTCAATGAATATTTTAATTGATTGCTATAGAGGGAGTTGCTTGGACAACAAGGGAGCCCAGAGGGTAGGATGTTGGGCAGGGGGATGTTTTAAATCCAGGTAGAAAGTGTGTGTTAAAAGATGTTAAGAGGTATCACAAGGCAGCAAGAGATGTTGCCAGACTGCATGGATGCAGCCACACGGTGCTTAGCACAGTGGTTCTCAAATCGTGGTTCCTGGACCAGTAGTATTCTCATCAACAACCCCTGGGAATTTGTTAGAAATGCACATTCTCAGGCCTTGCTCCAGACCACTTAATCAGAAACTCTGAAGGTGCCCCCAGCAATCTGTGTTTTGACAAGCTCTCTAAGTGGTTCTCATGCAGGTTCAAGTTGAGAACCACTATGGCATAATCTCTGTTTTGCCAAGCATCCGTAGCCTATTTAAGGATAGTTTGGGGATTTTCACAGTATGAAGAAAAATTTGTATTTTAAATTTAATATCTTGTTCATTCTTGGAAGAGTATATTTTGCAAATCTCTTCAATGAACCCTGGTCAGGTAGGTTTTAGCTTAGTTCTGGACAGTTTTTTTTTAATGTTTGGAATTCAAAGATTTTTTTTGTTTTGAATTTCAGACATTAACACAGAAGATAACTATGACAGCACAGAGATCTAAATATCTACAACTGAGCTACTTGATTGAAAATAACCTCACAAAGATGGGAATACATTTCACACTAATGGAAAGAAATAGCCTCCACCTGTCGACTTACTTTCGCATTTGGCGCTTGTCTGCGTCCACGTCTCATCGGGGTTGCAGGTAATGACGCCTTGGCCCTGGAGCAGGAAGCCTTCCCTGCACTTGACAGACACATTCTGATCAACATAAAACTCCTTCTCAGACAGCAGAGCATTCTCAGGGATCACAAAAGGAACAGGGCAGGGATTTGCTGTTAAAAAGAAAAGAAAATGCTTACTGACATTTCCCCTTTTATCCTAACTGATTTCTTTGAAGGCAGAGTAGGAGTCCTATAAGAGATAGTTCTCAATGATGATAATATGAGGTTTAAAAGTACAGAACTTCAAATATTAAACACAGACTTGTTTTGTACCCACATGAAATTATTTGTAAGGATACAATCAGATAAGATCAGAAAACATCAAGTTATTTCACCACTACGGCAAGGTCCTAAAAGTCTAAGATGGCAAATTATGTAGTTGTCTGAAATTATGGACCACGGGTAATATTGCAGATTAGTTTTTGATCAGCACTGGGGAAACACAAAGCACACTGGGACTCAAGGGGTATATCAAATATTCCCTTAATATTTGAAGAACATTAAGAAAGCAGAGTAAATGCTTCTTACTGTCACTTTACTTTCTTCTGTTGAACATCCTTCAGAAGGATGGAATAAGAGAATCATCAGACATTCCTACATGGTTGAATATGACTTTAGAGCCAGACCACTATGAACAGGATAGCAGAACTGAAATTGTGGAGTTTGCAATTCTTATTAACAAAGATGCATCCACTTTTATAGGTTTGAAGGAAATATAGGAAATGATCATGGTGCTATGTTTGCTTAATGCAAGTGTGTGACACATATCGATACATAGTTCCAGCAATTTTAGTTTTTCTGATTTTAGATGGGTACAAAAGAAGTCTTTGAGTGAGGTAGGCTTCCACCGTTACTGCACCGGAGCTCTCTCAACTTGTGCCTTGCCTGTGAATATTATTTTCATTCAAGTGGTTCTAACTAATTATCTTTATTTACCATATTTGTATATATTTTCTTATGTTGACATTACGCTTGAAATCATTTTCTTTCTTCACTT